GATTATATATAGGTGTAGTAGTACCTCTTCGGGCTCTTGTACACCTTTTTCTTGCTACGTGTGCGTGTTCTTTAGATCCTCAGATGGCTCCAGCACTTTCGTGACCACGGGCCGAGAGTCTTTGCTAGATTTTGGCATTTAGCAACTGGCATACGGTTTAATGTGAGGTCAACAACAACAACAACATGGTAGCTGTGTTTCTGTTTAGCTCTGTTTTTTTTTTTTACCAAGACAACGGCGCGTGCGTGCGCTTGCGCGCGGATATAATGTTATGATGTTTTGAGGATCTATCTTTGTAAGCGCTCTAGGCAAGATCTTGTACAGAGCAGCTTCTTTTCGGGCATGCTAGGAAGAAGCCGGGCGTTCTCGCGTTGGTTTGTGCACCAGAAAAAGCAGCAAACAGCGCGACGGTGGTTGGCACTCGTCCGTGAAAATCCGAAATAAGGCGGGAGGGCAAGTTTGAAACCACCATGGGGATTCCTGTACCTATTCACCCAATCGGAAGGGCAAAGTATACCGCCAAAAATTAGCCAAAATCGGCTGCGGAAGACGGGAATCGAGGTTCAAAGATGTTCAATATTTGTTTGATATGTCATGGGGTGTTGTTACTTGTCAAGGAGGCACGGCACGCGGCACTCACGGTACGAGCAGAAAAGGTAGTCATCAGTGCTGCCTACGCGCCTATATGGGGTATGTCTGTATCAATAGACATGTCATACCCATTGCTGCGCGTCGAGTTGTGCGGGAGTCCGCTCCAGCTCACAACGCAGCGACCACACCGCATTCAGATTGTCAGGGGGGTCCAAAATGATTTGAGTATTCAGATGCGGAGCACCCCTATATTTTCTTTTTTTTTTATCAAATAGAAAGAGAGAGGAAGAGAGGAGACCCAGAGACAGCTTGCTAGGCAAGGCAGGAAGCAGCAGGCGGGGAAGGAAAAGTTGCCGGAGGCCAAAGTGGTCACCCACCTTGGAGGCGGAGACGAGAGTGAAAGAAAGGGACAAAGAAAGAACCTAGGAGACGGCCTACCTCTGGGTTTCGGAGAAACAATAATGGCGGCAACACGACCGCCGGACGAGGTAAGCGTTGATTGTGGAGGGACACCTACATAGGATAATGTCATAGTCATAATACCTTGGTCCCTTGTGTCGGCGTCGCGTCATGAAGGGGCTCACCTCCAAATCCGTTGGGCTTCGACGCTTGGTTTCACAAGAGCATCGCACAGGGCTGACGCCAAACTCGGACACACTTACTTTCCTCTGGCCGTCTCAACAACACCTAACGGCGATGGTGGTACGTTGATTCTTCAGGGGAGCGCAAGAAAATCACCCAAAAAATAGGTAAAATTTGGGACGGCGGATGACCACAGCAGCAGCAAACTGACAACGGCTCTCCGTGAAAAGAACTCCTCCTAGATATGTGAGGCAGACCGCCCTTGCTTCCCTCTCCTGGCGAGACTTGTAGCAACGTTGGTGTAACGGTCGCGCTTGGTTGCGCTGGCTGCGTGACGACAGATTATTATCGCAGGCGGGTCTAGACAAAACTGTTACAGCAGTTCTTGTCCGTTATTTGCTTCCCAGCGTCAGCCGTCGAGCTGCACCCAAGCGACCAAAGATACGGTCGGATATGGTGGTGGAACGACCTGACCCGCTACTGCATGCCTCGCCCCCCGTGTTGCTTCGGGCGGGCGGGCGGCAGGCAGCAGCGTTCGCGACGCACCGCTGCCACCGCCGCAGCCGTACGATGCAAAGAGAGGCCGAACATCCACTTATTATTCTCTGTGGCCCATAGCAGGAAAGTTCTTAAGTTCTGAAAAGTCAAAAATATGTTTTCTCATTCCGGCGAGCGCAGGATGTTGTTCGTCGCCCTGTGTTTTTGCGAGGGGGGCAAGGCAGCAGAACACGAGTCGAAATATCGGCAGCACGCCTTCCTTCTGCACCCTCGCGAGGGTAAGAATTCTGACGTACATGCACGCGTTCAACTTCATGCTTACAAGCGCGCAGTGGGCCTGTGGTCTGGCAGGAGAGTGACTGCCCGTTCGTTCCGAACCAACTGCTGTTTGACCCATCCGTCACCGTCTGCCGCGGACCCTCTATCACGTTGACACCTATGGCCTCAGCAATGTCACTCCCATTGTGCACGGTCGAGAGCAGCACAGCCGTGATGCTCTGCATCATTCCAGAGTTGTGGTTGGGATCCCTCTTGCGAGATCGATCCATCGAACGCATGCACGCCTGCATCGGCCCGCGCCTCAACGAACGAAACAGCTCAAAAGGTGCATGAAAAATCCCCATCTCTCTGCGCAAGCCGCGGGGCGCTCGGTGGCAGTGGCATCACCATACGGGAAAGGTGCGACGTCCGCCTCCACATGTGCGGCTGCGGCATCATTAACGCTTCGGCGCTTTAGCAGCAGCTGCGCCATGTGCGTTCCTTCCGAAAGCGATAGAACTGGCGTTGTTGACGTTCATCTTTCGGTGTTCTAGCATACTTCCATTTCACCATCAACCGTGGACCATCAACGGTGGCGCCAAGCTCCGCGCTTTTTACGGTCTGCCGTTGTCCGAGGTCTCCATAACGTTGATGGTATTCTATCTATACGTATAACTAGTAAATACAATCAAAATGCATTTGTAGTGTTGTGTAGTTTGTGCTGTAGACCCACACACGTATGCATGCGCAGGAACAAACTGATTTATACCAACATTTTGCTTTGGAAAATATATAATACAGACGCTTGGTGCAGAGGCGGGCACACCGATCAAAAGAGAGCACAAACGCTGCCGCGCTTGATGAGCTTGAGCGAGGGAACAAGGGAATCACACCGCAATTTTGTCGGCGTTGAA